TCTTAAGTTTGCACATAAATATGCAATGTGTTTTAAAAGTAAACATGCACATTAAAATATATGCTTTTTTACATGGGTTTTTTTTCTTAAGGTATATGATTTCTTTTAAGCTCCACTGTATAATTCTCTTGATATGTACAAGTTTGCCTTTGTGCTCTCTGCTGTAATACGTTTTGTAAACCATTTGTAAACAATTTGGTAGACAGTTTTGCAATGTGTACATACCTTTGGGCAAATATTCTTACTAGATAACTCAATTCTAGCATTTGGATATTCCCATTAAACAATTGACATGTTTCAGTTCTGGCTATGTATCCGGAACTGCAAATGGGAAAAGTGTGCATTCAAATTCATCCAGTACAAATTTCTTCCAGTCCATAAAATAATCTTTAAAAAAAAGTAAAGCCCCGTATGGCATGGATCCAACCTGAAGAGCATCTCACCCTGATGAGACTAATTCATCTCAATTCTTCCACTGGAAGAGGCCTAATGCAGATCCCATTAGCCAAGGAATTCTGTCTGATGGGATCAAGGAAAAGAGCCTTTTATGCTGTGGGCCTGGTCCTGTGGAACATTCTACCACTGGAAGTGAGAACTTCTCCCATACTTCTGGCCTTCTGAAAGGGGATCAGATTACAGATTATCAGATGGAGGGGACCTTGTAGGTCATTTAGTCCAATCCCCCACCCAAGCAGCAGATCCTACACCATTTCTGACAAATAGCAGTCCAATCTCTTCTTGAAAACTTCCAGTGATGAAGCTCCCACAACTTCTGAAGGCAACTTCTGTTCCATTGGTTCATTGTTCTCACTGTCAGAAAATTTCTCCTTATTTCCAGGTTGAATCTCTCCTTGTTCAGTTTCTATTATTCCTTTTCTGGCCTACAGGTGCTTTAGAAAATAGTTGGACCCCTTCCTCTCTGTGGCAGCCCCTCAAATATTGGAAGACTACTACCATATCTTCCCTGGTCCTTCTCTTCACTAGACTAGCCAGGCTCAGTTCCTGTAACCGTTCTTCATGTTTTTGTCTCCAGTCCACTAATAACCCTGGTTGCTCTTCTCTGCACTCTTTGTAGAGTCTTTTTTATGGTGTGGTCACCAAAATGTTATCAAAAAGGTATCAAAACCTTTGGTGCTTGGGGCCCCAAGGGGCTTCACCTTTGGAAGTGGTTAACAGTGTAACCTCGGAAGAATTTGAAAGCAGGATGGATCTATGGAAAGCTACCAAGAACCAACACTGGATGGAACCAACAGAGAAGCTGGCACCTAGATCTGATGAAAGCTGGGAAGTATGGAAATCATTGAATACACTGCCACATGTGTACAACAAAATCCAGAGACACTCTGAACAAATGGGGTTATCTGGTTGCTCCTGCTATGTGCGATTGTGGTGACATGCAAACAGTGTATGTATACCTTCCTTCCCTTTGTGCTCCAATCAATGTATACTTGAGGAGAGAACACAATGCACAGAACACAATGTTGTTACTTTCTGGGCAAGATCTGTTTAAGTTGTACCTATTTTAATCTTGTATTTTATATTCTATATTTATGTCATATAGTGTGCCTTATTTTAATTGTTTTAATTTTAATTCTGATGTTTCTGACACAAATAAATAAACAATAGCATTGTCATTGTTTCTATATTTATCTTTGTTATTGTTTGTAAGCTGCCCAGAGCCACCTTATCGATGAGAGGGGCAGTATATAAATAAATAGAAATCTATTGGGTTGGCCGTAGATCAGAACTTCCTTTCTCATTCTGGACTTCTTCTCTCACCTTACTACAAGGTTGCATTGAGATGCAAGAGGAATTTCCAAGCAGCAGCATCTTTAAATCTTTAAATGCTATAGTAAGTTATGAAAGTTCCCAAGCCTTTAAGGGATGGGTCCATTTCTTGTTTTCGCAGCTACAAAAGAACCATTTCAAAGTGCACTTATCAAGTTGCCATTTATCCTGCATTTTCTGTTGATGTAGTTAGCCAACCCCTCTCTCTTTAAATGGTAATTAGACGGCTCCGATAGTGATCTGCAGAAAATACTCTCTGGTAGTCTTCTGGGTGACTATCACTGGCAGTTTTATTACTAATTTGCAGTTGCTACTGGGCTTGTCTATAATTAAGTTACTAATGGACTGTCTTGGCTGAGCTACTTTCTTTGTGTTTTTTTCCCCCCCTCTCCTTCCCTTGCCATTCTTCTTATGAAACCTCTTTTCATACGTTTGAAGATAAAGCTCTACCTGTGATCGCTCATCAACCTTTTAGGTGTGCTTTTTAATTGTTTTCCAACTTCACACTCTTTGGTTCACAACCAAAAATGCTTCTGGGTAGAGATTTATATGATATTTACATACTGCTTTAATTAGAGTAATGATTACACCTGTTTTAAGATAATATGTATTACTCGCTGCCAACCAGTAACACAATAACTGGAGCCAGCCTGCATAGAGGTTGCCTTTGAAAAGATGTTTAATTTTTCAGTAACATTTTAAATAATGTTGCTTAAAGTGTTAAAGAATTCTATTGTATTCTAAGTATTAATTATGGAAGTGCTCGGCTGGGACATTTTATAATACAAAAATAACTTGGCAGAATACCATGAAAGAGTTGCTTCATGAAAATAACTTTTATATCCCCAAACAGCTGTCCTAATATCAAAACCAGTTCATTAGGGTCAGTCAAAATTTGCTCAAGCAATTTGATCATTACTGAGAATTCTAAAAACTGAATTCCATCCAGTTGAAGCTCATCCAAGTTAGCTTGATTCTCAAAATGGCTCACAAATAGTTTGAATAAATAATAAATAACATTGACACACAAAGTAGTCCTTGACTTACATAATGGAGCCTATCCATTATGTTCGTAAGATGCGATCATAATAACATAGGTTACCCATGTCACTGACCCATTTTTTTAATTTATTCTATTTATATGCCACCCATCTAGCTGTCCAAAAGATTTTAGAATATTTTTTTGCAGTGATCATGAAGCGAACCCATTGTTTGTATGGGCCAATTTTGCCCGTAATAAATGCTGGTGTTCAGCCAAAGTTTTCAGCAAAAGTATAATCACATTTTGGGTTTAATGGGAAAAATACTTAGGAGAAAAAAAAATGGAACTTTGATGTTATATATGTTGATGGCAGTAAGACTACTTTACCCACAGAAATGGAAGGATGTTGCAATCACCAAATGGATGAATAGCTTCAAAAATTGATGGAATTAGCGGATATGGCTAAATTGACTGCTTTTTCAAAGAAAAAAAATATGAATACTTTTATTTCTACTTGGAAACCATTTCTGGACTTTGTGCTTGAGGTGGGAAAAAAAATGAAACATTGACTTTTGGTTTTACCAGTTAGATAGATTTGTTGTGATAGAAATGGCTGGTTTATACTATTATGTAAAAGTAAAAGTTGAGCTTTGATGTTAATGCCTTATTCTACTGCACCAAAGGGAGTTGGTAGTCAATGCCTTTTCTTTCTTTTTCCTCTTCTTTTCCGCACTCTTCCCTTCCCTTTTCCCTTCCCTGTTTTTCCCATTATTTACTTTTGTATTTTCTCTGTATGCTACATTGTAAACTCATAAACAAATTTTGTGGGGGGGGGGGGGGGAAATGTAATCATGTGACTGCAACATGCTACAAAACGCTGTAAATGCAGGCTGGTTGTTGAGTGCTCAAAATGGGGTCATGTGACCATGGGTGACTGGCAACCATTGGAATTTCAGAACTGGATTGTAAGTAACCCCAGGGAGGTCTGCCCTGATTTCAAATAGTCGCTAAGCAATTGGTTGTAAGCAGGGGTGGGCTGCTGGGGGTTTGCAGGGGTTCAGGAGAGCCCCTAGCTAAGATTCTGTGCAGTTTGAAGAGCCCCCAAATCCCACACCTGGCTGGTCCTGTCCACCCCGCCCCTCCCAGGAATCCCCACGCAGCCCATTTTGGATGCAGGTAAGTGCAGGGTGTGCGTGGAGGCTCAGGGGAGGGTGAAAAATTGGCCTCCCGGAAGTTCAGGAAGGCTGGGAATGGGCTTGTTTCTGGCTTCCAGAACCCAGGGTGGCCATTTTCATCCTCCTGGAGGCTCGAGAAAATTCTCCGGAGCCCTAGAAGGGCAAAAATGCCCCCCCAGGAGGGGTGGTGGTGTAGGAGGCTGACTAGGCCATGCACACCATGGCCACATTCACCTAGCAACTGGGCAGAGAACCCGTTGCTAAAAATTTTGAGGCCCACCCCTGGTTGTAAGTTTTGAACTACCTATAAGTAGTCAAACTACAATGCTCTGTTTGTTGAGCAAAACAAAGGATGAGACACATCAGTTTACGTTGTATGAAAGTTTGCAGTTTGCATGGATCATTGGAACATTTATGTCTTATTGTGTGAAATTACTGATTACAGATTTCTCCTCTGCTTGAATGAAAAAATCTGAAGAGCAAACTATGTCAATAGTTATGAAACAAACAACTATAGGTAAAATATTAAAACACATGCAAAAATTTAAGATGACCCCATTATGGAAAATATAGGTGCTGTACTGTCCCAGTCATGTGTTTCTTCTTGAAGGGAGCAATATTTTTTTTTAAAAAAATTGCTGAATTACTCTGAAACAGTGTAGTAAAATTGTACAAAGGGCAAAAAGACACCCTAGTGAAGAGTAAGCTTTAAGGAGGTTAGGATACTCTTCTGAAGGACAAAACAAAAGGAATGTCATGAACTGATGTTGTGATTTATAGTTCATCCTTCTGGATGATGCTTGTAAAATTAGATTCTCAGAATCACAGATGAGCAAATTTCTGGGAAATCAGGAAAAATGTACACATTCAATTTCTGAGCTTGCCAAGGCTTAGTATTACTACATGCCAGGCTCAGTAGACAATGTTTGTAATTTGGAAAATATGGCTACCACCTGACAGCATCACTGATGAATTCAGGTGAATCTTTATATATCGGTTTTCATCCGCTTAAGACAATCATTTACTCTTTTTCTTGGTTGTTTTTTCCCCCCTAGAAACATCCTTTATCGACTTGATGACAGGACACACCAATTTTCAGTACTCCTGGAGGCAGCAGAGCACTGGAAGTTACATCAGTCAAATGAGACGCTACAAGCTATCTTGTCAAAAGTGTTCAACAGTTTCAAATCAGCTCAGGTTTGTTTCAAAGCAGGACTTGAGGTCTTTGAGGCGACCTCAGTGGGAAACCAATGATGAACTTGGCTTTTTGGCATCTGCACACACGGCACTAAGAACCTTGTTTACATTTTGCAGAAGAAGACTTGGGATCACACTTGAAATTATATAGGGTTGAAATCTTTCTTTGGTTTCTCAATTTACAAAAAAAAAGGAATCCTTATTTCAAGGTAGTCTCAAAGGTGTTTTTTTTAAAGAGGCAAGTCCAGGTGCTTCTTGAAAAAGCACCTTTGGGACAACCATGACTTGGATGACCAAGAATCTCCATAGACATTTGTTTCAAGGTATTTTATTGTATCCCTAGATAATGCTAAAGCACCCTTTTGCACTGTTGAGAGTTTATTGCGTATTTCTATTTTTGGAATATGTGCATATGGATATCTGTATATGTGTTGATAGATCAAGAACTAAATGAGGAAGATTTGAAATTGGATAACTAGAAAATAATTCCACAGTTGATCCAAGCTTCAAGAAGAAATTAATACGCTTTTATCTTTCCTTCCTACTGCATTTCTAATTGCACACAGAAAACACATTGAAATAATCCTTCCCATTTCCATTCATGTCCTATATGGAATACCTGAGCTTCCATTCAGTTCCCTTATTTGCAATCATTGGTCATATGTGGCTGCTTTTTGTAAATACTATTTATATTTTTAAATATAAGGCCAACATGCAAGTGCATTGACTAGCATTTGCCTAATGTTGCCATTCCACAGCAAAAACCATTTGTGAAACATTCATTCAAAAATATCTTATCTATATGTGGCACTGGATATTTCTGTTCAACAGGAGCCATTTGTGAACAGCAGCCATGAAATCTGATAGTATGTGGTTGATCATGGATGTTTTAAGAATTCATAGAACACCTGATTCACCAACACCTGATGGTTGATTCACAAGTGAACTTTAATTGAACTGGACCTGCTGCAGAAGACTCATGACTGAATAGAATGAAAAATGAAATGTCAGTGGTGTTATCCTATAGTAGGAGTGTCAAACTCGATTTCATTGAGGCCGCATCAGGGTTGTGTTTGACCTTGGGGGCCGGGGTGGGCATGGCCAACATGACATCACTCGTGTTGGGGGCACCTGTGGTGGCCCGAGCTCTCTGCCAGCAAAAAACAGGCTCCCAAGCTCCATTTTTTGCTGGCAGAGGCACCGTGGGCTAGTCCTTTGTTGTTTCCAGGGTGGCACCATGGGCGAGATCTAAGCAACCCCCAGGCCTTGAGTTTGACACCCTTGTCCTACAGGAAACAAAAGAAGTTAATCTTTCTTATTATTTATGCACAATGTTCATAATATCATATACAGGTCTGAAAGAAAATTAGACACCAACCATTGTGAAAGAGGCAATAATCCCTAACTACACCCAGATAGGACCATGCCTGGTTCTTAACTTTTCCTTCACCATGTACTCCCTTTAAATACCTTTTGTGGCCATGGACCATGGTCAGGGACCATCAAGATTTACTCAAGATTTAAAGCACTAGATTGTATCAAATATTCATGGACCTCCGGTGATAACGTTGCGGCCTCCCAGGGTTTCGCGGACCACAGGTTGAGAACCATGTCCCTATGAGATATTCTAGACAACTATAGATGAAAAATAAGTAGCATAGATCAGGAAACTGCAATAAAAAATGTATCTTGGCAGCTTTTTGCTGAAACTCTCCAAGAAAAAAGTAAGGAATGGGTAAAAAGAATCAAGGTATTCAAATACTGAAAATATTGTAGCTCTCCCCATGCTGTTTCTGAAACCAGAGTGACATAGACATCAAGACATATGCTTTCCCATCAAAGCCATAGCCTTAACTATGCATATCCTGAAAGCAAAAGAAAACTTTCTTTATTGTGTGACAAGTAATATTGCATTCCAATGCCTTTAATAATTCAGAGTGAAGAATTAGGTTTATGCGGCTGCCTGGATTTGAAAGGAAAATATTCCACTTTTTCTCCTTCAGATCCAGAGCAAATGAGATTAAGTTGCAGTAAGTTTAATGAAAAATTGCATGAACCCATAGCATGGTCACATGTAGGCTATCCCCAGAAAGCATCCCTTAACTTCCCATGAACTACACCTGTGATTTATTTTGATGGGGAAACAAGTTTTCTAGAGACTTCTGTTCAATAAACCTGGAAAAGTAGCAAGAGATAAATGTGACAACGTGTGTGCAAGAGAGAGAAGGAAGGAAGGACGGGGGGGGGGGGGGGGGCAGAGAATCACTCAGAAACACCTCATTCTTTGTAATATAATTTAAAGGAAATTGTCTTCTGATTCATTTTTGGTGAGATAGGATCCTCCAGAATTCTGACTAGGAAGCTCAATTTAAATATAAATGAAATGAAGTTAAACTTATTTTTTTTGTCCTGATCTTCCCCATGCTACATACGGTATACATCAAATGGTGAACTTAACTCAGAAAAGAATTACGTAGCTTTCCCTTTGCTTTTGAGCACAATTCATAACCATGGGTATTGAGAAATTTCCATTGATTTCAATGATATTTTCAGCTAAGTAAGCATCCTTCAGCTTGCATGCTTTGAATGAAATCTCTTCTGAGGCTAGTGGGGTGACATCAATACAGCAGGATTCAACTAAATCATATTAGGCAACGTCATTTGATTTCATTTTGGTATTGACTCAAATATAGATTCAAATTTCTCTTAAAATAACACTTCAGCAGTTCATCCAGATTCCTGAGGCATTCTTTATTGCTTTGTCATAGGTCATATGCCAGTATCTAGTAAAATGAACGCAGTAGTGAATAGTTCTAACAACCAGGAAACTTAATAGCTTATATATTTGTGTGTTTAAAGTGTATGAAAATGAAATTATAATAAATAAGCTAACATGATTTATAGTGCCTATTGCAGAGGGAATCATAAAAAAACATATACTACAATCAAATCAGACAAGTAATAAGTATACCAGAGAATTGTCATTTGGCCACTAAATTCATGATAGATTGTAAATTGTTTTGAATAATTTAAGGGAAAAACTTAAAATCTAATGTTTAGAGTCATAAACTGTTTAACCTGGAAATTTTTTATGGAAATAAGGAGAAACTTTCTGACAGTGAGAACAATCAACCACTGGAACAGCTTGTCTTCAGAAGTTTTGGGAGCTTCATCACTTGAGACTTTCAAGACGAGATTGGACTGCCATTTGTCAGAAATGGTGTAGGGTCTCCTGCTCGGGCGGGGGTTGGACTAGATTGCCTTCCAACTCTGTTAATCTGTAATAAAAACAACTATAAGATCTTTTTTCCTCTCTCTTCATTCTAAAACATAAGAAAAAGGCATATCTGTCCACCTACCTATTTAATCACCCATCATAGGTGACTCTGTTTAAGCAAGGGACCATCAAACCTTCACTGAAGCATAAATTGCTTTATTGATCCATGCGGGAAGCAAACACAGATCTCAAGAAAGGAGGCATTACAGTTCCCTTTTTATAAATGTTTGCAAATTAACTACAATTAATTTGGCTTTGATTCACTGATTGCGTTTCACCATTATGCACTAATAGGTGAGGGAATAAGTCAGGATAGGTATGTAATGGATTTTTATGCAAGATACTTTTTAAAAACAACAGGCCAAAGAAATTACATCTGAAATTGGTCTCTTCCTCTAGCCATGACCTACAAACCTCAAATTATATCTTAATCCTTTCTTGGCCTAGTTTGCATTCTTGCAGTTAGCACTTTGATTAACTTAACCAAACGTAAGATTCTGAGTATTCCCAGTGCCTAATTATTTATTGCTGAGCTATGTTTTCCTGCACATTAAAAAAAAAAACCCACTCTGGTTTTTTAAATCACATTGTTGCAATGACCAAAGTTGACTTTTTTTTGTAACTATAATCCTGGCCTTGACAAATACATTTTGTTTTGGTTTGGGGTTTTGTGGTTGTTTTTTTAATCAGTACTGATGTCAAGTGGCTGGATTTGGTCTGTGGGATCAGTGCTGATCTTTCCGTTATGATTCAGGACAAAGCATAAGTAACATATTTCATATCTGCCTGTGAAAACAGGATTTATGGAGCTACTGGCTATCACTCGTGGTCACCCCCAGGAAGGTGAAAATCTGCAAGATGGTTAATATGGTGATTTTGACTTCGCAATGGTAGACCAGTTGTCTCTGTATGCAGGTGGTTCATTGTTTGGGGTTGTGGAGTCATTGTTTGCATGGATAAAGTGGTATAGATTTTGAAGTCCAATGTGTCCATCTGTGAAATAGGATCTTCCCTACAATGATCCCATAGTTGTAGAACTTTGCTTTTAAGGAGGGATTTTCATTAAGTTTATGTACATATGCTTGTCACTGGGAATTTGTATGGAGTAGACATATGTAAGGTTGTACTATAAAAATATTTCTTTTCTGGACAAAGCTTACAGCTTAGATGTTGAACTTATTACTCTTTCTAATTGTCTTTTAATTTCTTCTGATTTCTTGATTTCCTGATTATGCATTTAAATGAGTCTGAATGATATATTTTCCTCTAAAAAATCCAGTTCAACTTGACTTCTATTGATATGAGGGTTTGATGATTAGGTGACCTCAGGGGCCTTTTACTTTGGACTCTATGGATTAAGTCTCTAGCTGACTTAGATCTCAAAAAAAGCTGATTGGGCTCTTGCAAAGTAGTTGAATGGGAAACTATCAAAGAATCTAGAACTGGAAGGGGAGCTTAGAGAGAGAAAGAGAGAGAGAGAAATCCTGGAAAAGCTATTTAGGTATTTTAATAATGATTGGCTGTTTCCATGTAATCAGAAGAGTTTGACTAAACAGAGATATTTTTTTACTTATAAGTATCATACACAGGGCGAAGGAAAATATGAAAACTAGAAATAATAACAAGGAGAAGGATTAATGACTACTTACCTGCATACATTTTGTAGAGGTTTTAGATGACTTAGTGTGCTTTAACATGCAGTGTCCAAACTTGGCAGTGTGGC